ATCTGACTGCTATGAATTAAAGCTGTATATCAACAACAAAAGAACACAAACGCATAGAATCTAAATAACACACCACTGATTAAAAATTGAGTGAAGAAAGGAATCAAGAAGGAAGTTTAAGAATTCTCAGAATTAAATGAAATGAAAAAGAAATGAGGCAGTTATGAAAAGAAAGCTCACAACACTATGTGCCTAAATAAAACTTTGAGAAATCTCAAACTAGATGCACCTGAGGGCTTTAGAAAAACAAGAATAATCAATACCTCCGCCTAAAGTAGATAGGAAGAGATTATCAAAATCATGGCCAAAATCAGTAAAATAGAAATGAAAAATATAAAATGAATGAATGAAACAAAGAATTGATACTTTGAAAGTAGCATTCAAGTGACAACACATGCTGGAGAGAATGTGGAGAAAGGAGAGAAAAAAGAGGAAACTGTAGGTGAATATCTTCAATAAATATGGACATAAAAGTTCTTAATAAAATAATAAAATATTTGGAAACTAAGTTCAAGAACACATCAAAAAGTCATCCACCATGATCAAGTTTTCTTCTTTCCAAATTTACAAGGATGGTGCATATATAACTCAATAAATGTAATTAGATAAAAAGATAGAAACTATATAATCATTTCATTAAATGCGGAAAAGACCTTGAACAAAATTCAACATCTATTCATAATGAAGGTCCTGGAGAAAGTATGGGCACAGGGGACATTATCTCAGCATAATAAAGGCAATGACTGGGAAGTCCACAGCCAGTATTATCCTAAACGGAGAAAAATTCAAAGGCATTTCCACTAACCTCAGGAACAAGACAAGGATGCCCACACTTCATACCTACTCCAATGTGGTTCTTTATAGAAACTGAAAAAATAATATTAAATTTCATATGTAAATACAAAATATCCATGATAGCAAAAGAATCCCAATCAATAAAAAATTGCTAGAGGTTTCACCATTCTAGATTGTGTTATATTACAAAGCTGTAGTAATAAAGCAACATGGTACTGGCATAAAAACAAACCCATTGATCAATAGAATACAATTAGGTACTCACCCAGAAACTCACATTCCTACCGCCACTTGTTTTTTTGAAAAGGAGACCAGCAAAACATGTTGGAGAAAACATAGCATCTTCAGCACATGTTGCTAGCCAGATAGGATAACTATGTATAGAAGAATGAAACTTGATTATCTCTCACCCTGCACAAAAATCAACTCCAAATGGATGAAAGACCTCAGCAATAAACCTGATGTTCTGAAACTGACAGAAAAGAAAGTGGGTGATATACTGAATTCATTGGCACCTAAAGGACTTTATGAACAGGATTCCAATAGTGCAGGTATTAGTGAATGAGACCACCTAAGACTAAAAAGGCTTTGTACAGAAAAGGATACCATCACTCCAGCAAAGAGGCAGGCTACAGAATAAAAAACATATCTTTAGCAACTGTCTATCTGACAGAAGTTTACTTATCTAGAATATACCAGAATTTTTCAAAAATAAGCATCAAGGAACAAACAACCCAGTTCTGGTTACACAGAAGATGAAATACAAATGTCCAAGGAACATTTTTTAAAAATTCAACATCCTTAGGAATCAGGGAAGTACTTCTTTGAGATTTCATCTCCTCCTAGTCAAAATGGCTAACATGAAAAAGAAATCCAAAAGACAACAATTTGGGAAAAAGGAAAACATAGTCACTGATGGAGAGAGAAAAACCTGATGTGATTGCTATGAAAATATATGTGGAGTTTCCTCAAAAATCTAAAACTAGATCCACTACACTGTATACCACTCTTGGACATTTACCTAAAGGACTCCATATCCTGCTGGAGAGCTACCTGATCCCCCATGTTCATTGCTGATCTATTAAAAATAACCAAGACATGGAAAGAGACTAGATGGTCATCATATGATGGATAGTGAAAATGTGGTATATTTTCATAGTGGGGTATTATTTAGCTATTAAGGAAAGTATTGGACAGTAAAGTCCTATACACCTCCAAACATTACAGTCTATTGCCATCATTCAGGACTGCCTGCCAGAACTTGAAAGTAAGACCACACTGAGAAAGACACCTCATATTTGAGTCATAGAGCATAGAGAAACCAAGCTGGGATTAGCCCCAAAGCTTCATCCCTGCTGGACAGCCTTTATAGTTCTGGAAAGGATGATGCATGCTATCAGAGGATAAAAATAATCAATTATCCCAGCTTTGAACCAAGCAATAATGGTTGTCCTGGCAAGACATGCCCACTAGTGCAATAGTGTCACAGACATCATAAGAGTAACCAACCATGTTCTGATCAGATTTATCCACAAGATGAAGCCCATAACTGGCAACATTATTGGGCAAAGAATCTGTAGCTAGACAGATCAGTTCATGTCTCAAGCTTCATCTGAGACACTTCTACTTACATAGAGGTGATTAACATAAAGACCCATAACTGAGAAAGATGCAAAGAACAAGAGACTGCAGAATGCTCGGGTCTAAAGGGAATGTATATACATATGCATGCATCCAACTCCCAACGCTCAGGGATCCTCACAGTAATGGGGACGGAAAGCTTGTAAGAGCCGAAGGCAGTGGTGGACTCCAAGGAAACATTGTCTTCTGGACGTTAGGGCAGCTGCACTGCGGATTCAGAGCAGTTACCACAGCACGCACAAGACTCATGCAAACCCAAACCTGACGACATTCCAGCATGAAGATGGAAGTTGGATATGAAATCCCACCCCTGGCCATGCAGCTACTGGCAGAGTTAGGTGCTAGGAGAGAAAGAGACATTTTTCTCTAAGAAGGGCACCTTTGGTGAGCCAAGAATGCTGCAGTGGAAGATCGTATCTCCAAGAATATTTGGGCAGCGTAAATTGGTCCTGATTTTTTAAGACATAAAGTTGGGTGGGTAAGGATAGATCAGGTAGATCCGGTGGATCTGTGGGAGTATGTATATAAAAAAATTGAACAAATTTCTCAAAGGATAAAAAAAATTAAGAATAAATATGATGGATTTGAATTAGGAGAAGGTGTAAATCCCAAATTACTTGGATGCTTCCTATAATATTTGAAAGCTATTTGCTTTTGTAGCCATCATCAACTTTTCTGTTTGTGTGTGTGTGTGAAACAGTGTCTCTGCCTGAACCAGACTGGTAACCAGCAAGCCCCAGGGACCCTCCTGTCTCTGTCCCTTGTAAACCTGAAATAACAGGAGAATAATGAAAGACATGCTTGGCTTTTCATGTACGTGATGGGAATTTGAACCCTGATCCTTGTGTTTGTACAACAAAACTCTTTCCCCCATGACTCATCTTCCCAGCACATAAAACCTAAGCCAGGCATAGCAACACACTTCTTTAAACCCAGCAGTTAGGAGGCAGAGACAGGGAGATCTCTGGGTTCAAAGTGAGCCTACTTTACATACTTTACTCTGTCTCAGACAGAAAAAGAAGAAAGAACAAGACTGATTTTTTTATATCCTGTTTAAATAACTTATTTAACTAGTGGTAAATTCCCTTGTCTATAAGAAACTGGTTAGACAGCTCACTGGCATCTTGTGGGTGGATCCCTTAGAAGGCTCAATGCTCATGAACAGTTTATTTTCCTTTCAGGATTATTTTCATAAAGCAATGGAAGGAAACTTACCATGCATTCACTCTAAGTCAGATAAGGACACTGGCAAGACATTTCCCTGGGTAATCCGAATCTTAGAAATTAGCAAGAGTAGACTCTACCCAAAGTTTGGCTATGAGTCTCAGCATCTACTTCAATCCCCTGTTGGGTGGAGCCTTTCACAGGACTCTCTCTGTATATAGTAGGCTCTCATCCTGCTTCCTTTCTTCTACTGCTTCTGTTGTCTATCCTGTTTGCCATTCTGAATGAGATTTAAGCATCCTCCCCAGGGTCCTCCTTAGTGTTTAGCTTCTTTAGGTCTGTAGCTTTTAGTATGGCTATTCTACATTATATAACTATTATCTGCTTATAAGTGAGTGTATACCATGCATGTCTTTCTTTTTCTGGGTTACCTCACTCAGGATGATCTTCAACTTCCTGAACAGAACACCAAAAGCTCAGGTGCCAAGATCAACAACTAATAAATGGGTCCTCCTGAAACTGAAAAGCTTCTGTAAGGTAAAGGACACTGTCAACAGAACAAAATGACAGCCTACAGACTGGGAAAACATCTTCACCAACACTACATTTGACAGAGGTCTACTCTCCAGAATATATAAAGAACTTATGAAATTAAACACCAACAAACCAAATAATTCAATTTAAAAATGGGGTACAGAGCTAAGCACAGAATTCTCAACAAAGGAAAACTGAATGGCAGAGAAACACTTGAAGAAATGCTAACATCCTTAGTCATCAGAGAAATGTAAATTAAGGCGACATCAGAATGGCTAAGATCAAAAACTCAAGTGACAACACATGCTGGAGAGGATGTGGAGAAAGGGGAACCCTCCTCCATTGCTGGTGGGAGTGCAAACTTGTACAACCACACTTTGAAAATCAATCTGGCACTTTCTCAAAAAATTGGGAATAGCACTACCTCAAGATCCAGCTATACTACTCCTGGGCATATACCCAAAAGATACTCCACCATTCAATAAGGACATTTGCTCAACTATGTTCATAACACCTTTATTTGTAATAGCCAGAATCTGGAAATAACCTAGATGCCCCTCAACAAATTGAGGCACATTTACGCAATTGAATACTACTCCACTATTAAAAACAAGGTAGTCATGAAATTTTCAGGGAAATGGATACATGCTGTTTCCCCAAAGCTTGCTCAGCTCTACCAATAAAAGAAAAGAGAGGAAGAGGAAAAGGCTAGAGAGATGGCTTAGTAGTTAGGAGTACTTGTTGTTCTTGCAAAAGACCAATGTTCCATTTCCAGAAGTCACATGTCCACACAAATCAGTCTGTAACTCCAGTTCCATACACACACACACACACACACACACACTTATACAAACGATAAACACACATCAAGTAGATGTTTTGTTTATTTACTTTATATGCCAATCACAGCTTCCCCTCCTTCCTCTCCTCCCAGTCCCATTCTCCCTCATCCATCTTCCCTCTCCCCTACCCTTCCCTTGCCCCTCTCATTCCTTTTTCCTCAAAGACAAGGAGGTCAAGTATAGATATCATACCCATAGCTCCCTAGCAAATTAAGCTATTCTAGAATAAAAGAGAGAGAAAAAGATGAAAAGATCAGGAGATGCTTTGTAGCCTGTTATTTCGTCCTTTTTGGGACTCATCAGTACAGTGTAGTTAACTCTATAAAGATTTTAAATACTTTGTTTTTAGGACCCAATAACATGCACATTAGTGCAAAACGAAGTGTTGAATGCTTAAGGAGTTTAACTCCCATTTGATGTGAAATGAATCCAATGAAGTGGTAAAATTTAAATGGCATTTATTTATAAAATGGATTATGCTTGAACAGTATAATTATATAATTATATTTAGAACTGTAAAACTGGAAATAAGAACATTATAAATGAGAGAGATTTTGACTGTCATTTATGTTTCAAAGAGTGTAAAAAAAATTAGTTTTAAATACTTTTTAAATTTTTCTGGGTGTTAGCATAAATTTTGAAAAGAACGTATAATGTTTTTCCCCAAATTATCAGATGCTACAGATTCTTATCTTTCCTATCATTATGGGAGCATTCCCATACTTCACTTCCCACTGTGAACATGTGTCTCTCCTGTTTAACCCTTAAGTAGCTGTCAGGCATCACAGATGTGTGTCACTATATAACATCCACACACACTTTTGGGAACTCATTTTTGTGGTCTCCTAGATTCAAAAGAAGGACTTCTCTGCACAAAAGTAAAAGTAGGGCTCACTAACATTAACTGTTCTTTACACTTAAGGTCTGAGTGCCGACATCTATGTTAGACTCATCTATGTTCTTCTAATCCCTTCTTTGTACACTTCTTCAAGAAGGTTTTCATTTGTGATGTCAAGAAATATTCTAAGTTCCTTTTGATAGCGATGTGGGAAGATGTGGAAAAGAGTAGCAACTGTAGATAACAGGCTAAAAGCATCTCTTGGAAAAGGCTAGAAAGAAGAAAAAGAATTTTGGCACTGGAGGGTATAGCTGTTGGGTTTGCTACAGATCCATCTTCGATCTGCATAGACCCTGGCACTGCTGATCCCGTTGTTGTTCAGGTAGGCATGATTTTCCACTCCCCGGATGGGAACCCTGAAAAGAAACCAAAAGCAGTCAGTCTGCAGAGCCCAGAACTGCATTCCCTCCTGTAGTGAAATCTTCCCCATCTTCACTGCTTATTTGTAACATGAATATAGTCAAAGAAAGACAGTCCTGTGCCAGTTTTGCACCTAGCAGCTTTAACACTTCCAGAGTTATTTATGAACACCACATCTCTGTCATTTGTATGTGATGTGTAATGTGTGTACAAAGCAGTCGACTGGGGCTTGCTGACATGTTCAAATGAAGTGCAGGCATGGTGGCCTCACAGATGGGGATTTTCAGTTCTGTTTTGAAGCATTTTATATAGCTGAAAACCCATTTACTAAATTGCTGACAAGATTTTAAAGATATAATTGACTGGGTCTGTGATTTACCATTCTAGTAAAACAATGTGCTCTAATCCAAGAAATACCTTGGATGCTGACAGATAACAAGACTTTAGGGCTGGTTTTCCAGTGCCCTTGGAGTCTCTGCTTTTGTGAACAGGTGTAGCTGTGCAAGAACCAGTGAGTCTTGCCTTACAGTTCTGCAGTGGCTTTTGAGGGTGTCAGAGCCCTCACTGCCCATCTGAATTTCTATCTACATCCCACACAGGGCATTTATCACCAACAAAAAGTTTTAAGTTGGTAAAGAAGCAGACAATACCTCCCCCCGATGCCATCATCACTTGAGTAAAATCACACTAAGTAAAGGTTTTGAAAATGATGGCCAATAATACATGGGAGAACCTCCAAAGGATTTAAGTGTGTGGGGATGTGGAGTTTGCTGGGGATTGACTCCTGTGTGTAGCACACACCCTCCCTCTCAGGCACACCTCCAACCCAAGAGTTTATTATTCTTCCTCTCCAGTACAGCTGGCTTCACATTAAGCAGCCATTCATCTTTCAGAGCCACAACTCACATGCGATCACAGCACATGAACACAGTAGAAGGAAAAGTATCTGCAAACATACGTGTTGTTATACTCAGTGTTGTCTGTCCATCTCCAAGGGAGTTGTTGTGACTCTCTGTGCAGGCCGATCCAGTAGTCAAAAGTCCCCTTGTATCTACTTAGGAAACCCTGTCATGAAACACAGAAAGCAAATACATGTGTGTCTCTTTTCAGATTATCCTTGTGGCTCTCCACTCACTCAACAGCTTTCTCTAGAGATGTCAGGAGGGTGTAACTGAGTGTCACAGAGTTTGGAGATGTAACGACCTCCAGCTTTCAGTAGACCCACTTAACAACTGTAATTCTAAAGTACCTCATTTGGATTACAGCTACAAATTGAATGACACCCCACTGTGGCTGTCATGGTCCCTGGCTAAGCCACCCCTTGCCATTACTAAGAGTTGTCACCTTCAGTATACAACAGCTTGTGCCAGCTTGGAGAAAAACGCTCATGACCACCAGGTACCTGGGTAAAATGGCACCTCTGACCTCTCAGACTGACTGAGTACGACATGCAGTAATGTTTCTTCAGTGTCTCAGAGCTTCATCCAGGTGTGTGTGACCATCACAAAAGCACACACTCACATGTTCCCCGAGTCTCCACCTGCTTGAGATGGGAAACTTCCTCATGCCTCATCTTTACTCTCCCTATCTCCAGGTAATACATATTCAAGAGGACAAAGAAACAACCCAATCCCTGATCATTACCAGCTCCTCCAGGTTGTCAAATCGAGCAAGTTGGGCCTCTTGTGCCACGCAGGAGGTCTGGCTGAAGGTCCAGTTACTTGTGGATTCAGAAAAATAAAAACATTTATTTCCAAATCCAATCCAGTGTCTTGGGCAAGCAGCATAGGTGTTTTTCACTGGTGTCTGTTCATTCTTTCTTACTAAAATTCAGACAACAGAATGAATTATAACAAGCTTGTCTTGTCTCTTTTTGGCCTCCTTCCTGAGCTCAGCTGTGAGGTATGAATTTGATTGCAGCTTTCCCAATTGATCTGTAGGAGTCCTCTCCTGAGCACAATAGGCCTTTATCTAAAGGTCTCCCACCCTGGGTCTGAGTCCCATTCCCTCTCAGGTGCTCACTGACTGCAGGGCTCCCTGGAAGTGCATTGATTTCTATAACGTCTTCACTTTTGTGCTTTGGATGATTGTTTCCTACAGTGGGGGTTGCTATAGCAACAAGCACTCTGTATGGACACCTACTTTGAAGTCAGCCTGATAACTGAGATAGCAGCGAGAACTGTTGGGAAGGTAGCATATGCAGTGTGGACATGTTGCTCTAAAGGATGGTTCACATGCCTAAGAGGACAGTGTGAGACTTTATCACACTATTCTGAACACTGTGGTACTAAAATCCTAGAAATTGATTACATTAGGAATAATCCATTTAATATGCTGAAAACATTCCTGAACATGGTCACTAAAACCATGGGTAATGGGGAGAGCCACTGTATCTTCCTGGCCATATTACTCCTCTCTGTCCTCACACTTCCTTGAGGTTCCTCCTTTGGGTATTGCTCTTCTTGTTCTCTGCCATGGACAGTTACCCCAGGTGGACTATTGTCTCCTGTATTTCTATCTAGAGCTTGCTGATGTCATCTTCGCAGGGATGCTGAGCCTGGCCTCCTGTGCACACCACAGCCTGTGCTGTTCCTCCACTGCAGCTTCCTGCTGGAGCCTGAGTTCCCAGAGAACAGGAATTTCCAGTGTGTTTTCTCAAGCCCTTCCCACAGTGCCTGGCTCACAGTGATTAGTAAGTATGTACTGACAATGTCAATGCGGACAGAATGTTACAGAATTTGGAGAATAAGTCACTTACCTGACAAAGCAACAGAAAGCGCAGTCACAGCTACAGTGAGGACTGTGATCACTACATAGCAGCAGTAAAGCTTAGCAGAAGACTCAGGAGAGGTGATGCTGAGATATTTTCCTTGCAGCTTTTTACCTGAAAAATATAAATATGAGATCAATCTCAGGAACCTTTCAGAGTAAAAGATAAATGTACTAAGAGTCATCTGTAGATTTGGCTTGTACTCTGTCACCATATAGCCTTTCACAGAAGGTCCTGGTCTGTAAATGACGTCCATGGCTCACAGAAGACTAAAGGACTGGGAACAGATTTGTTGCCATAGAATCTTGCAGTTATTGAATGAAGAGTCAGTGAAAGAGCAAGAAAGAGAAAGATTGAAGTTTAGGTTGGAAAACAACACAAAACTATATGGAAAGGACAGGAGAGGGGAGGGGAAAG